GGTAGTAGCATAGCCACATCTTGCTCTTCTGCCCCTCCTCCCTCTCGCCCCTTGGTCCCCGCACATTTTCTCTGTTCCATTATACGTGGACGCGGGTCATAATGTATTCGCTCGGTTTAAAGCGTCACAGGAGTTCCACTCGCAGCGACGCGCCCACCGAGATCGGATATAACCCGTCGCAGCATGTACTGCCGCAAAATTGGTGTTAAATTACAATTATTAATTGCAGTAAACAAGCTACATCGCCGCAGCTAGTTCAGTCGCTTATGTAGCCGCGTCATTTGCCTTTAATCCGGTGAAAGGGGCCGACTATGCCGGCTATGCGCGCTTCAGGATTACCGCGCGGAAATTTTCCGGCAAAATGGCGGAAATTATTTTAAAGCGGGCTAGTAAGAGAGATTTCATGAGGGACGCACCGCGTTCCACCGAGCACGGAGTGTGTTTCATGCTGCTCGCAGCGGGTATCTCTCGCGAGTTAATTTATCGCCCGGCGTTCTCGGGACGGCATCAATGCAGTCGCAGGCCACTTTGTGGCATTGAAATTTCGTCGTGGAGACGAAACATTTTTGTTTGAAACATTTTTTTCTCCTAAAATATATTATTTATGAAATATTTTATTGTATTATTAAAATGGGACATCTTGTATAAGCGTTGAAATGAATTTTGAGCTAATTTTTTTGGACTTGACTTGTCGAGAATAAGACATCTTGCATAAAATTGGTATTTTAAACTAATTTTTTTTATATAAATTATCATTTTTTGAGATGTCATGTCAAAACACAAAAGATAAACAAAATAGATTTGTATTATTTAGTGAAGTTTACTTACAAACTTGAGCGAAACATTAATTCTTGCAATTTCGAGAAGCAGTATTTCCACCATTGTTTCGAGTGAAAATACTGCCACCGTTCACTTGTTATGAATGAGATAATTCCATATACTTCAAGAAATCTAAAGGATGTCTAATAAAAGGTGATTTCCAGCTTGTAAGAAAAATGTCTTACTTCCTTGAATCTTCTAGCAAGGAGTGGTAGGTATCAGCTGTTGGCGCAAGACGAAGTAACAGAGCAAGCAGCTAGTTGCATGTGACAGAGAACGCGCCGAAAAAAGAGCAAGTCTTTAGCTGATGCTGCTACGTTCTAGGAGATTTTAAAAAGTGAGATATCTTTCTTACAAACTAGAAGCACAAATTTATAAAAATAAACTGCGCATTTCTATAAGATGTCTAATGACAAGATTGAAGGACTGATTCTCTCTCTCTCTCTCTCTCTCTCTCTCTCTCTCTCTCTCTCTCTTCCTTGTTAATTCAAATACTTCTTCTGCCATACAGTAGATTAGAAAGAGATGATATAGGAAGAATCATGTGATTGCTTCTTCTACTTCCTTCTTCTCAAGCAGACAATTATAGACTAGAAAAATATATCTTACTCTATTGCTCTCACTTACTAATGCTAACTTTATCTTTTCTGCAGCGATGCGCAATCTATTCTATATGTCAATTGCTGGAAATCACCATTTATTAAACATATTTACAAAGTCCGTCCTACAGAAAAATATATACTGCATTCAAGTAAATGTTACTTGTTTCAAATATCTCATAAGTTTATGTATTCATAAATCTATCATAAGTTCATCACATAAGTACGAAATTTATATTTAAAATACATTCTAAATCTTGGCAAATTTAACATTTAAATTAAGAATATCTTAAAACAAAAATTTGATTGTAAGTTTAACTAATATTTCTTTATGAACTTGATTCTATTTTATCTTTTATTCTTCACACAAAAATTATCGTTAGTATAGATTTTGCAATTTGACTCTTAAAAGTTTTTAATAAATTTATTAGTAGATATGTATATTTAATGTAATACACAACTTGTTTCATGGTTTTTTATAAAAATAAACTAAACTATACATACCTATCATTAAATTTATTAAAAACTTTTAACAGCTAACTTGCAAAATCCGATTTTATACTAACAATCATTTTTACATGAAGTATAAGACCACGTCTTCCAGCGAATATCGAGATATTTCTATTCAACCCAATACACACTATTAGCGAATCATCCATTGAATAGAGATAACTAAAATAACAATAAAAGTAACGATTAAATTCGTTACCATAAAAATGTAACTACGTTACCGTTACAAACAGAAAAAAGTAACGATCGTTATCGGAAAAAAGTAATGGTAACAGCGTTACAAGTAACAGGTTACTTCCCAACTCTGTTAATAGTGATAATAACCTTATACCACTTCCATTTTCGCGTTGAAACAATCCGAAGATACGGTTGGGGCCAAAAGCAACAATAACTTTAGTTAGACCGTGTTCGTCTTCCAGTGTACCTTCCTCGTATTCTGACTTCGTCGTGCAATTGTAGGCGTAGAACCGCACAGGAACAATTTCAGCACATTGAAGTTCTAATTGAGATAACGCGAAAACCAGAAGCGATTACGCGGATTGGCGGTGACGCGCCGCTGATCACATGGACTTTCGCTATTACGAAATCTCCATAATTTCTCAATTGACCGACCCTGTTTCCCGATAGCTACCCACATCGCACACATTTCACCTGCACACGTTATTCTGCGCTCCTGCGCGGGCGGCGAAACTATTTCATGTCGCGGATTCACATGCTCGCTCCACGGCGCGGGTGGCGAAGGTTTATTGCAAGCATGGCAACGCACATGCAATGAAAAATGGATGGCATCGTGTAAGCACGATAACGATTGCGTATCGCGATCGCTACCATTTCACTCCAATACGTGATACCGCGGGCGTGCAAGCAAGGTACGCGAGCGAGCAAGCAAACGAACGCACGCGCCTGCGAATACAACGTTATTATTGGCAGGTATTAGGCCGCCGTGCACCCACACATCATGAAACGGATTTATTTGCGAGTGTACATAACGTTAACGTTTGCACTTGGATCCGAGCAGGCCGCGTTATCCGCGCTTCATTGCGTTCGGGAGCCTCCGAGCGATCGCGCAGCAAACCCGCGCGAACTTAGGCCGACGCGCATAGAATGCGCAGAATGCGCGGCGGAATAGGCTGCCGAAATTCCGAAGGGCGAGATGAATCGAACGAACGGATGATTTCCGTGTTCGATATTACGTGGCCGTCTGGAGCGCGAGTGTACGGCGCGTGCAATAACCGCAGGCCGTTTCCCACTTCGTGAAAAATCAAAGAGGCGCCCACAATAGAGCGGCCGATACAGATTTCAGCGCGGGTCCTTCTTATGCGATTTTGGATAATGGGCGGGATTTCACGTGCCTCGCGGTGAGCTTTATCTTCACTGAGAAAAGTCCTCCGGTCATCAAAAGCACGTTTGCTACTTGATGATCGCCAGGAAACAGATCGAACACTTATACTTGCAAATCATTTCCCACCATTTGTCATTTTAAGAAACATAAGGGAAACCGGGGTTATGTAGTTTCATATTGCTCATGTGTTTTTTTTAGTATTTATTCTGAGAGGAGTGGATACAAAGTCGTGAAATGATCCTTTTAGAACATTAATACTTTTCCCTGAGTTTTGCTGAAATTAGAATATCATAGTTAAATAGAAAAAATTGATTTGTGCATGCGTGTGTGTGTGTGAGAGAGAAAGAGAGAGAGAGAGAATAATGAAGTAAATTTTCAAGTCTCTCGAAATTTTCTATTAATATTTTCTACCGTAATTGAATAAAATTGAGCGATGCATTATTAGCTAAAATGAAATTTCCTGTAAGTGTATGATATACTGTTTCTGATAATATATGCAATTTTCATTCATAAAATGTTTAAAATCGAGCTTATGGACGGACGAAGTAAAATTGGCTTACAATTAAGGGTCGGCGGGAGGGTTGTGGAGACCTCTCGCAGAGAACTACTAACTAGGATACATATTTTACATGTGGCCTTCTTTACTCTGCGTTACTGGGCAACTGAACCAGGGCAAGATGGCTATGTTGCTGCATATTCGTATTTTGATTATTGCACAATAAAACATATGGTTAACAAGATTGTGGCAAGCATTAATACATAAAAGAAGATTGCCTCTACCATGTTTATATAGTTAATTAATCAATTAGTTGCCTGAGAAGTTGTAATTTCGAAATTCTGAAATATGGAGTATCTAGCTCTGGTCTCCTCTACATTATCTGAGATATAAATCACATTTGTTCTCGCTTATTTAGATTAGGGTAGAATCTTAAATAATGAGAAGTGCAACCAATTACGTGCTTGCTGATTAGACGATCACAGCCACCGATTAAAACTGAGAATGTAAATCCCGCAGCTGATCCTTTGTGCAATCTAACCAAACCGCAGCTGGCGTATTATGAGTGAGAAAAAAGAATATGTGTTTAAATATAAAGGAATATTGTTTTATTAAAGAAAAACATCTTTGAGACATATCCTGAAACCTGATATATCTTTGGTTCATCTTAAATATGTATGTTGTTTCTGGATTCATATCATATTATAAATCTGCATGAGTGCGAAGTGATTAAACTTGTCAATAAACAATCAGCTACGAGCTCAACATAGCGACCATGAGAACCATAGAAGGAGTATCGTTTACAGTTCTCTGATTACTTAGGATTCTAGGGTAGGTTAGTTATGTCTTCATTACAGTTTTGCCTAGAGCAGCAAATTGAAAGTAACAAATCGTTTGTTTCCACCATAGCCATTTGCTGTCCCATACCAACAAACAATTCGTTGTGGCCGCTGATATTTTGTTAAATCAGCAAAACTTTTTCTCTCTCAGCGTACGACACGCCGCCATTCGCGGCGTCGGGCCTTCCGGCTGTCGCGCGGTCGCTTACCGGAAACCAATACCGACGCGAAGATGATTTTATCACGCCGGGGCTTCGCAGGACTCCAGATTCTTGCCCCATGCCGGCAATCTTGCACGAAACTGCACGTCTCTATGTATATTTGATGCGTCGCTGATGGAGTCCATTACACACAGCGGCGGACTTCTAACTTCCCCTTTTTCCCTCCGGTTACAGTTCCGAGATCGGTGTTGCGCGAGCAATACGAGGGCGAGATCGAGGCGGACGAGATCGAGCAGATGCACGAGTTCGAGGAAGGTTTCGACAGAACGGACTTCAGGGCGGAATTCAGTCCAAGTCCAAACCTCGAAGGACCGCAGCCGCAGCCCCGAGATAATGTCTCCAGAAATTTTCCGACTGTTAGCTCGTCCCCGCCTCGTGCGCGCACCAACAACGACGGTGAGTTCCGCCTAGCGGTTTGCTGCTTCATCTTACTCGGGAAAAGCGAGCGACATTGTTGCATGGTTGCTGTGTTCGAACCGCACGCGACACGCATGCGTTTCCGTAACGTCTTGTCCGAGCACGAGAATGGAATAGTAACATACGTCACGATAATAGCGACTCACATATTTCGATGAGTAACAGCGCTTGGATGTTTTAAGACGACGCGACTTTGACTCCCGCGCGAATGCAGTTATAATGGATTGCATCGTTGATGTTCTCTCTCTTTTTCGTTCTCTCTATCTCTCTCTTTTATTCGTAAATTTACGTCCGCATCACGGGCTTTTGTTTTTCCCGTCCCGCTGTAAGTCTAAAAGCCTTGTTCGTTCTTGTATATTTAAATCTCCTCCGTACGATTTCCGTCTTTGCGATCCGAGCTCTTTTCTAAATCCTTCTCTGCCCTACGGAATAAGAAAAGTATATATTGCGTGTACTCGGAAATTACAGTAATTAGAGAGAACGTACTTTTCATTTTACTCTCGAAAGATCGCAGCACAATCATTCCCTGGTAGAAATCTAATGCAGTTTTCGAACAGATATCGGGTAGTTATAATAACTTTTGTCTAATAACTAAAAAGTGAAATTACTTGGGGTTCTAATCAAGATGAAGAACGCTTTGTCTGCTATTACTGCGTACGAAAGATGCGCAAAATCTGGAAATCTATTCATTGAACAAAAGCAGAACAGTAAATGGACAGAAGGCTATTTAATTGATTAATAATCAAGTGTGCTGCTCATAAAATGTGCAGATTTGCTCTAATAGTATTTTATTTCTTGTGCATGATTTCTAATTGAAACAGTTTTATGCCAACGAGAGTTATAGCGCAAGGAAATCTTTGTTGCGTATTATGTATTTTCACGTTTTCCACTTTTTTGTCATATTTTTTTAGTCATCATATAATATACGTCCTTTTATCCACTCTTGTAGTTATACTATTTCATCAGGTTTTAAATCCGAACATTTCGAATCATGACACTTTTCATTTGCATCATTAAAATAGTTTGACGTATTATCATCACAATGAAATTAACACGTACACCTTATTTGCCTTTTTTGCTCGCTTTCGTTTCTAAACTTGATTGTCATCTTTCTTGCAAGATTTAGTATTGTTAAATCCCTCATTTCCTCCAATTTTCTTTTTTTAGCTCTATGTTTCTCTACATGTTCACTTATTTTTCACATAATTTTTACAATCATGACGGTTTTCACTTATATCCTTATCATCAGAATAGTCTAATGTATTTTCATCATAATAAAATTCTGTGTTATTAAGATGTACCCTTATAGAATAGAATAGAATGTGCATTCCTACGGAAGGGCTGATGACAAAATTTAAGGATAGAGATATGCTGCTAAGCCAAATGTTTCCTCTATTACATAGTATCCTACAAGTAAACGATATAGGAGAGACTAGAAAAAGAAAGAAAGAGAGAAGGGGTGACTATAATATAGTAAAAGGAAGGACGCATCATAAGATCATTTTTCCTATTTAGTTCTCCTCACCAACTAGACAATTAAACAAGGGGAGCATTTTACTCTCTGCTGCTCTGTCTTGCTAATGCTGACTTCGTCCTTTCTGCAGTAACGCACAAGCTATTCTACATGTCTATACATATATCTTATTAGTCTTTTTTGTTTCATTTCTAACCTTGGTTGTCATCTCTGTCGCAAGACTTAATGTTGTCAAATGCCTGATTTTCTTCCTTGCTTTTCCTTGCTCCATACTTTTCTACACATTCATTGTTCACTTAATTTTAAGTTCTTTTTCAACAATATAAATAAATATCAAATTACACGATGTAAATAAATATTATCTAAAAATGTGTATAAATGTAATATGTGATAAATGTAATTTAAAATGTGTACGACATACGTACACATTTTAAAACCGAACTGATATCGCTGATACTACGTCTTGGAGAAAATCAACCCCACATTGTGCGGTAAACTTCTTCAACCTCTGAATAGAACTCTATCAAGTTCTTGTGCAATTTCCACGCAGTATTTTCACAACTAATAGGAATGCATTAGTTGGACAAAACTGGACTGGTGTTTACGCGAACTGCATACATTTCTGCCGGGCTTCTCGGGGAAACGACTTCACCGTATTTTATAACGAACAGGCGCGCGAGAAACATGCCGCGATACGCCCATTTCCGCCATAGTCTGTGCTCTGTGCTTGAAGAAATTTTAACATTCGAACTGCATGCGCTGAATTCTCGCACGTGTCTCGCATGTTTGCACTTTTGCATGTTCGGTCGTGCCGTCGCACGGCTGCTCCATGATCGGTCCCCGTACATACGTCGGCCACTATATGTGTGTCCACACACATTAGACAGTGTCAGCCGGGTCGAAGTTACCACGCAGGTAATGCGCGCGAATGTTAAGGCGATTAGTCGGCCTCTCTGTGTCGGGATTATGAAAATTTATTTCGCGGTCTCTCCGCCACGGAGGCGTATCGGAGCAGTTGATTAATTCTGCTCATTTATAAATAACCGCGTAATTGTGTAATTACACACGCGGAGCGACGTGGCGAATTATTATTTCCATGACTAATTAATCCGCGTGCGCCGCGACGACGACACGCGGGCCCCATTTGCGCCGTGCATTACGCCACATCCACTGCCGCGTCATCGCGACGCGTGACGCATTTTTCCGCGGCAAAATTATATTTTGGCAAATGCACGCGAATAAAGGTGGGGAGAACAATGGGAGGACGGTGTAAAATTCAACTGCTCGTGACTCGTTGTCTTGAAACAATAGTGAGGAATATAATGCTGCATTTAATATACAATAAACTCCCTCGAAAACGACATTTCGAACGCGTCGCAATTGGAAAATGGCTATTTCGTCCCGTGTTTTCTTGTTGTTTCTCCTTCCCCCTTCCCACCTTCGCTCTCCTATTCCGCCGTCGCGCATTAATTTTTCCTCACACAGTAGCCTGACAGCCGGCTCATAAAGGGGTATATTAAAATCCATTTTCACGCTTCCGTTCTTTTCACGGCAGTCAAGGGACATTTCGACGCATTGAAACGTTTTTCCGGCTTCTTCGCGCTCTCCACGCTCTGCCATCGCGCTGTGTGCTGCATAAATATACGCGAAGCAAAGTGCTCGTCTTAGAGTTACTCTCTCATTGCTGCAACGGAAGTATCCGGATGTACGTAACTTTATATCCTGCAGTAATGTCCGCAATGAAATTACTTACCAGCCCAGCGAGGAGCAAGCCCGTTGAGAGGATGAGGAAGACTGAGTGAGAGGAGGACCGTAGAAGGCATGAGGGAGAAAGAAAAAGAGAAGGAGAGAAAGAGAGAGAGGCAACATACAGTCGTTTTATATTCGCTTCGTCTGCGAGCGTTTTTTCCCTCGGCTTTTTATTTTTGCACAAGCGCGCCAGAAGCGTTATATCGAACCGGCGTTATTAACATCGCGTGCAACGAAATGCATTTTGGCCCTTCGTTATTATCTCTCATTAGCGCCCTCGGCCACGTGCGATTTTCCCGTTCGACATCGAAGCCGCCTCCGCCGTCGTTTTGGCGCTATTCAACTTGCGGTCTGCTGGAGTTAGGGTGCGTTCTTCGAGAAACTCGCTACCGCAACTATCAACGCTAACGTTACCAACTCTGTTCACGAAGCCAAGACAGCGCTAGCGAGTGCAAACTCTTAAAGTTCTTCTACTAAAAATTAGAACATCGTCCATTTGTATCCCGCTTAATCCATTTGACGCCACAATTGCTTCAAAGAGCCAATCACGATCGTTCTTTGCGCGCTCCAAAGCGTTTATAGCTTCAAGTGAGTCTTATTCAGTGAGTGAGAGAAAAGCCGCAACGTGCTTGTCGTCTCAGTCTTTTTTAAAGATTCTGTCTCATTCCTAGACTTTCTCTCTCACTCCCACTCACTTCAAGCGGAATACTAATGGCGGATAGAACGCGGGCTAATAAAAAAATCATCAACGGTGTTCTAACACTTATTAAAGAAACTCTACGAGTTTCACAAACAGCAATAGTGTTAAGTTAGTAGTGTTAAAGGCTGCCGCATCGAGTGGTTGAAACTTAACCAACACATTGTTGTGATTCTGCATTTTGTAATTGGATTTTCACATAACCCGTTTTTTATATGTAAAGCCAACGACGTTTACAATCAAACAAAAGTCTGAAACTTAATGTATAAGGGAATAAAGCAAGTACAACCAATTCACTATTGCTGTTTCGGAGAGCTCGCGAACGCTAACGCTATCAATGCGCTACTTCGGAAGCGATAGCGTTGGTAGCGCAAAGCCATGACGTAGAACACTACCGTTAGTGACGTCACGATAGTATTGGTAGTGCTATTAGCTGGTTCCCCGGACAGCGGTAGCGTTAAATAACGCTGATAGCGTACACTTCAAACGTACCCTTAGTGGTGCAACGCAACATTTAGGTCGATGCACTCGAACGTTTCACCCCGATATTTATGGCCGACTTCGCCATCCCGAAATGCGAGTTTTAGCCGCTCTCTTCTCGCCACTTCCACGAAGCCTCGTGGCCAACCTGCGCGCGCATTGTCATGATTCCTCTCATGATTTCGCCAAGTGTAACCGTTCTGCTAAACGCCGGGCTTCAGTCCTAAGACGAGCCAACTAATGGAATAAACCGACCGTCTCATCGGTCGCGGAAGGGCGACGGCAACTCATTAAAGCACAAGCGGAATTAGGTAGGTCAATCGGTTTGGAAGTTCGGCTTCAAAGATCGCCTGACTGGGCGACAGAGTCCTGTAATTGGATATGCATTCACTCGAACACTTCTTGCCGACGCCTTTGCCGCGCGGTCCGTTGAATTATTTGCCGGGTTGTCTTTGGTTACTCGCCACCCCCCCGCTTGTAGACGCCGTGTAAAGTAAAAAGCAACGTACGACGGCACATCTTGGGATTATCCTCGGGAAAAGGAGTGTGCGAGAGTGTGCGCGGAACTCTTTGCTCCTC